GTCTCGAACCCACGGGCTCAGGCAATCCACTCACCTCAGCCTCCCAAAGGTGTGGGATTGCAGGCTGAGCCACCGAGCTGGGCCCCAAGCCTGATTTTCTCAGACACTTACCTGCTTTGCACCCAAGGTACCTTGGCTTATCCGTGGATGGTTGGCTGGGACCTCAGGCAAACCTGCTCCTTGGCCAGCTTCCCCCCATTCCTTGTTAAAAAAAGAAACAGATTTCAACCCCAGCCTCCATCTGTCCTCATCTGCCGCCGTTGGCAGGAAAGCAGCGCTCCCTGTTTCTCTCTGCTCCGTCGCAGTCCCTCACTGCCCAGGACAGGGTGGAAGGGGCAAGCATCTATCATGTACATTGATTTGAGGGTTTTGGGTTTGCTTTGTCTTCCTCTGAACCAATGCCTAGTTCAAAGTGAACCCAAGAGTGATGGTGAGCTTTAAATTTTTTAAATTTTAAGTGTGTTTCTGGCAGAATGAGAGGCCTTAAAAACCTTTCTGGTCTTCGTCCCGAAGCTGAGGGTTTCATTTGCTCAGGTCCTGGGCAAAGGAGAGGCTTAAAATAACTTGCCATTTCTGAAGGGTCCTAGGATGCCGCAGACCAGTGTTTTAGGATTCCTTTACAAATGGCTGTCACCATGCTCCACAGCCAGAGCACAGGGCCGACAAGAGAGGGCACTGGGAGCAGGGAGAGATGAGCCAGGCTCTCCCGTCTCCTTTGTCCAGAGAGCACACAGTTGTGTTTAGGGCCCTCGGTAGGCTCCCCTGGGGTGTGATGAAGGAAAGCAGTGTTCCCAGGGACGTGAACGTGGGAGAGCCCTGACTTCCTGCACACAGGCCTCTTTGCTTTGGCATGTTCACCCCTGTCAAGGGTGGCAGAACTGGGTTGCCCAGGAGGATTCAAACATAAACCAGATTTTTCCCCAATGCTATTCAGGGCCGAGAAAGTAGCAACTCTCATCTCAGGCTCTGATTTGTTTTCTTTCTGAGATCCCCTTGCAAGGTAGGCAGTATCGTGCCCACTTTACAGAGGAAGACACTGTGGATCATAGAGGTGAAGTAACTTACCTGAGATCACACAGCTAGCAAATGGATGAGCAGAGATTTGAGCTCACGACTGTCTGGCTCCAAGTTTCCTTCTGCTCTTCCTCCTCTTCCTGCTCCGCCCTCTCCTTTTTTTTTTCACAAGCCCTTAAATGTGAACTTGGGCCCTTAGTGTTTATATTATCTCCTCATGTAACCTCGAGAGAGAATTATTGTGTTTATCTGTTTTTTACAGAGGAAGAGACAGCCTCAGAGAGATCAAGAATCTTGTACAAGCCCACACAGCTAATAAGCAGTAATGCCTCTGATCTTTCCTCCCACACCACCATGGACGGTGTTTAGGGAAAGGGATGTAAGTGAATGTGGCCAGTCTCAGCTTCAGAGGGGGCTCCTGTCTGGTGAGGGGGGATGGTTGGTCTGCTAAGGGTGTGGCTCATGTCTGGAAATAGCCAGGCTCCAGATTATACATGGGAATCCTGGTTGCCATTGTGAGTGCTACTTTTAAATCCTTCCAAAGCGTCCAAGCTGATGGTAGGGTGCCTGGCTCTCCTGCGGGATAAAAGTGGCAAGAGCAACCCAGTCCTGTGTCATGACGAGGCTTTGAACTGGTGGTGGAGCTTGGTGAATAGGAAATAGGCCACAGAGACAATAAGGCTTCCCTTGGCTTGGCCACTGGTGAGGCTGCTTTTATCTTAGTTGTCAGTGGCTGATTTTGGTTTGTTTCTTAAGTGGAAAGAAATGTATAACTAATTGCTAGGATCCAGAGACATTGTGTTTTCTGCACAGTGCGTTAGTGCCTCAGTTTCCTTCTCACCCTCAGACTGCATCATTTACTAAGATCTCAAAGAACTAATGAGTGTAATTCACTAAACCTGGTTGGGAAAAACGTTAGGGCCTCCCCAAGGAGAGAAGATGTCTCAGAGGAGGCCTGCTCTACCTCCGCATAGGCCTGTCATAGTTCATGCTTGGATTTTGGCTTCAACTTTCTGCCCCAGGGGCCCCCATCCCTGCTCTCTGAGTAGTCCTTTTATTTTTTGTTTATTTTTATTTTGTAGAGAAGAGTCTCACTCTGTCACCAGGATGGAGTGCAGTGGTGTAGCTCACTGCAGCCTCGATCTCTTGGGCTCCAAAAATCCTCTTGCCTCAGCTTCCTGAATAGCTGGGATACAGGTGTGTACCACCACGCCTAGCTAATTATTATTATTATTTTTTTGTAGAGATGGGATCTTGCTCTTTTGCCCAGGCTGGTCTTGAACTCCTGGGCTTAAGAGATTCTCCCGCCTTGGCCTCCCAAAATGCTGGGATTGCAGGCATGAACCATCATGCCTAGCCTGAGCAGTCCATTTAAATACAATTATCCAACTGGTAGTTTTCCTGTCTTAAAACTCGTCAGGACTTTCCCATCCTGTAGGATGCAGGCCACACTCTTTAACTGGTGTGTAAGGCCTTGTATGTTCTAATGCCCTCAAGTGACTAGTCCCATTGCCCGTCTTAGCTCACAATATCATACTACTTTTAGTTCAGAGAGTCCCCAGTGTAATCTTATACCTCCGCACCTAGGTGGTAAGTATCTGGAATGCTTTTCTCAGCTTCTTGTTTGCTCACAGGCTCTGATTCTGTCTTGAAAATTCTGCTGATAACACCCTTTCTTGGAATCCTTCACTGATCTTCCCCTTCCTGTTGGAGCTCATACCCACTGCTCTCTCCTGCTTTGGTCTCTTGATGGGATTTTCATGATCACAAGCAAATGACTATGTGGCAATCACCCATTTAACCATCTGATTTCCTACGAGGCCCTGAGCTCCATTCATCTTTGTATCATCGTGAACTTCGTAGGGTGTCTGGGGCCTTGCAGCCCATGGGAGCTGCTAGCTCAAGGCCCTGGCATTACCTGGGCCTCCTGGCTGTGAATCTGCGTGCTCTTTGTCTGCTTGGGTGGGCACAGTGAAATGCCATGGACTGAGGCCTTAAGCAACAGAAATAGAATTTCTTACAGTTCTGGAGACTGGAAGTTTAAGATCAAGGTGTCAGCAGGCGTGGTTCCTTCTGAGGCCTTTTTCCTTGGCTTGCAAATGGTCACCTTCTTGCTGTGTCCTCACATGACCATGCCTCAATCTGTGTGTTCTTATAAAGACATCAGACCTGTTGGATTTGGGCCCGCCCGTATGACCTCATTTTGCCTTAATTGCCTCTTTAAAGGCCCTATCTCCAAATACAGGCACATTCTGAGGTCCTGGGGGTTAGGGCTTCAACATGTGACTTCTGGAGAGTACAGTTTAGCCCATATCATTCTTACTCTTTCCTCGGAGGCAGGTGCCCTGAAATCTGACTGTGCTGCCTGTGACCTTTAACCCCATGCAGGACCTTATCCCTGCAGGAGACTGAAGGTTTTGATTTTTCTCCTCATGTGGGCAAGTATGGATTTTATCCGAGATTCAGACATCTTTGGGCTAGCAGAGTGGCTGCTGCGATGCTAGCGAATGACTCACAGTCAGAACAGCGTCAGGTTGATGAAGGAGGCAGGTGTGAGCAGAGGCTCGAAAGCCTGGAAATTAGAAATCACCTTGAAGGCAGTCTGTGGGGCTGGTTGACAGGGTGGTTTAGAGGCAGTCTGCGCTGCACGGCAAGCAGTAGGCCAGGCTGCCATGGTCAGGGAGTTGGAACATCCGGCGCCTGGACACTGGGCAGCACAAGGCTTTTCCAGGATGAGTCTGGTCATGCTCAGCATTTGCCTGTATACCTGACTGCTGCCTAGATGGGCCTGCAGCATATCCCTTTTCTGTGTAAGGGAAGGACTGGGCCATGGGGGTCCCCTGGGGTTTGAGCAGGGTGCTCAGTCTCTTTGTTGGTGCTGGGTTGTTCATGGTTTCCAGGTGATGAGCAGTGCAGGTAAGGCTTGAGGTGACAGAGCAGGGGGCTTCCTCTCCCTCTTTCACCTGATGCCTGACATGCCATCAGGAGTGTTACATAGGACCCACGGCGGTGGAAGCTGTGTGGAGGGACACTGTGCTTGTAGGGGCTAGCACGTGGTGCCCTGGCTCCCTTTCCAGAGCCTTCATGTAGCCAGAGCCAGTTGGCACCAGGCTCAATCAAGGTGGGCCAGAGCTTTTGGCCTCAGGGCAGGCACAGCCAAGAGAGCTGGAAAGAGCAGTGGAACTGGCAGCAACAATAGTCCACCCCAAGGCGGATGCTCTGTTGCAGACATCTGTGCTGTGGCCCTTTCTGTGGGTGTCCCCAGTGGACTTGTCCTAGAGTGAAGGATGTCAAGGGGCTCGCTCAGCTTTTGTCCTTTGTGATACCCTGGGGGATGGAATGACTGAGCAGAGTACAGAGTGTAGCTTCTCCAGGCCTCAGCCCCTCATCTGTAGGATGGGACATGATGGCATCTTCCAGTAGGGTTGTTGGGGACACTCAGTGAGATCATGTGTGTGATCACATGGTCGGTGCTCGGCAGGCACAGACATTCTGATCATAGCAGCATCTGGCTGCTGCTTTGGAATCTCCTCCATGAGCAGAGGCCCTGAACCCAGGCCAAGATCGGAATCCTTTCTGCCTCACTCCTGGCACAGCGGGTAGCCCCTGCCAACCGGGAAGCTGAGGCAGCATGGCAGCTGGAGACCAAGCAGCAATTAGATTTTCACAGCCTCCCATGGTGCTC